ATAGTCTAGTCTATAGTCTAGTCTATAGTCTAGTCTATAGTTAGTCTATTCTAGTCTATAGTCTAGTCTATAGTCTAGTCTATAGTCTAGTCTATAGTCTAGTCCATAGTCTAGTCTATAGTCTAGTCTATAGTCAGTCTATAGTCTAGTCTATAGTCTAGTCTATAGTCTAGTCTATAGTCTAGTCTATAGTCTAGTCTATAGTCTAGTCTATAGTCTAGTCTATAGTCTAGTCTATAGTCTAGGTCTATAGTCTTATAGTCTAGTCTATAGTCTAGTCTAGTCTAGTCCTAGTCTATAGTCTAGTCTATAGTCTAGTCTATAGTCTAGTCTAAGTCTAGTCTATAGTCCTAGTCTATAGTCTAGTCTAGTCTATAGTCTAGTCTAATAGTCTAGTCTAGTCGATAGTCTAGTCTAGTCTATAGTCTAGTCTAGTCTATAGTCTAGTCTATAGTCATAGTCTATATCTAGTCTAGTCTATAGTCTAGTCTATAGTCTAGTCTATAGTCTAGTCTATAGTCTAGTCTATAGTCTAGTCTATAGTCTAGTCTATAGTCTAGTCTATAGTCTAGTCTATAGTCTAGTCTATAGTCTAGTCTATAGTCTAGTCTATAGTCTAGTCTATAGTCTAGTCTATAGTCTAGTCTATAGTCTAGTCTATAGTCTAGTCTATAGTCTAGTCTATAGTCTAGTCTATAGTCTAGTCTATAGTCTAGTCTATAGTCTAGTCTATAGTCTAGTCTATAGTCTAGTCCATAGTCTAGTCATAGTCTAGTCTATAGTCTAGTCTATAGTCTAGTCTATAGTCTAGTCTATAGTCTAGTCTATAGTCTAGTCTATAGTCTAGTCTATAGTCTAGTCTATAGTCTAGTCTATAGTCTAGTCTATAGTCTAGTCTATAGTCTATAGTCTAGTCTATAGTCTAGTCTAGTCTAGTCTAGTCTATAGTCTAGTCTATAGTCTAGTCTATAGTCTAGTCTATAGTCTAGTCTATAGTCTAGTCTATAGTCTAGTCTAGTCTATAGTCTAGTCTATAGTCTAGTCTAGTCTATAGTCTAGTCTAGTCTATAGTCTAGTCTAGTCTATAGTCTAGTCTATAGTCTAGTCTATAGTCTAGTCTATAGTCTAGTATAGTCTAGTCTATAGTCTAGTCTATAGTCTAGTCTATAGTCTAGTCTATAGTCTAGTCTATAGTCTAGTCTATAGTCTAGTCTATAGTCTAGTCTATAGTCTAGTCTATAGTCTAGTCTATAGTCTAGTCTATAGTCTAGTCTATAGTCTAGTCTATGTCTAGTCTATAGTCTAGTCTATAGTCTAGTCTATAGTCTAGTCTATAGTCTAGTCTATAGTCTAGTCTATAGTCTAGTCTATAGTCTAGTCTATAGTCTAGTCTATAGTCTAGTCTATAGTCTAGTCTATAGTCTAGTCTATAGTCTAGTCATAGTCTAGTCTATATCTAGTCTAGTCTAGTCTATAGTCTAGTCTATAGTCTAGTCTATAGTCTAGTCTATAGTCTAGTCTATAGTCTAGTCTATAGTCTAGTCTATAGTCTAGTCTATAGTCTAGTCTATAGTCTAGTCTATAGTCTAGTCTATTAGTCTAGTCTAGTCTATAGTCTAGTCTATAGTCTAGTCTATAGTCTAGTCTATAGTCTAGTCTATAGTCTAGTCTATAGTCTAGTCTATAGTCTAGTCTATAGTCTAGTCTATAGTCTAGTCTATAGTCTAGTCTATAGTCTAGTCTATAGTCTAGTCTATAGTCTAGTCTATAGTCTAGTCTATAGTCTAGTCTATAGTCTAGTCTATAGTCTAGTCTATAGTCTAGTCTATAGTCTAGTCTATAGTCTAGTCTATAGTCTAGTCTATAGTCTAGTCTATAGTCTAGTCTATAGTCTAGTCTATAGTCTAGTCTATAGTCTAGTCTATAGTCTAGTCTATAGTCTAGTCTATAGTCTAGTCTATAGTCTAGTCTATAGTCTAGTCTATAGTCTAGTCTATAGTCTAGTCTATAGTCTAGTCTATAGTCTAGTCTATAGTCTAGTCTATAGTCTAGTCTATAGTCTAGTCTATAGTCTAGTCTATAGTCTAGTCTATAGTCTAGTCTATAGTCTAGTCTATAGTCTAGTCTATAGTCTAGTCTATAGTCTAGTCTATAGTCTAGTCTATAGTCTAGTCTATAGTCTAGTCTATAGTCTAGTCTATAGTCTAGTCTATAGTCTAGTCTATAGTCTAGTCTATAGTCTAGTCCATAGTCTAGTCTATAGTCTAGTCTATAGTCTAGTCTATACTCTAGTCTATAGTCTAGTCTATAGTCTAGTCTAGTCTATAGTCTAGTCTATAGTCTAGTCTATAGTCTAGTCTATAGTCTAGTCTATAGTCTAGTCTATAGTCTAGTCTATAGTCTAGTCTATAGTCTAGTCTAGTCTATAGTCTAGTCTATAGTCTAGTCTATAGTCTAGTCTATAGTCTAGTCTAGTCTATAGTCTAGTCTAGTCTATAGTCTAGTCTAGTCTATAGTCTAGTCTATAGTCTAGTCTATAGTCTAGTCTATAGTCTAGTCTATAGTCTAGTCTATAGTCTAGTCTATAGTCTAGTCTAGTCTATAGTCTAGTCTATAGTCTAGTCTATAGTCTAGTCTAGTCTATAGTCTAGTCTATAGTCTAGTCTATAGTCTAGTCTATAGTCTAGTCTATAGTCTAGTCTATAGTCTAGTCTATAGTCTAGTCTATAGTCTAGTCTATAGTCTAGTCTATAGTCTAGTCTATAGTTTAGTCTATAGTCTAGTCTATAGTCTAGTCTATAGTCTAGTCTATAGTCTAGTCTATAGTCTAGTCTATAGTCTAGTCCATAGTCTAGTCTATAGTCTAGTCTATAGTCTTGTCTATAGTCTAGTCTATAGTCTAGTCTATAGTCTAGTCTATAGTCTTGTCTATAGTCTAGTCTATAGTCTAGTCTATAGTCTAGTCTATATTCTTGTCTATAGTCTAGTCTATAGTCTAGTCTATAGTCTAGTCTATAGTCTATTCTATAGGCTAGTCTAGTCTATAGTCTAGTCTATAGTCTATAGTCTATAGTCTAGTCTATAGTCTAGTCTATAGTCTAGTCTATAGTCTAGTCTATAGTCTAGTCTATAGTCTAGTCTATAGTCGTCTAGTCTCTAGTCTAGTCTAGTCTATAGTCTAGTCTATAGTCTAGTCTATAGTCTAGTCTATAGTCTAGTCTATCGTCTAGTCTATAGTCTAGTCTATAGTCTAGTCTATAGTCTAGTCTATAGTCTAGTCTATAGTCTAGTCTATAGTCTAGTCTATAGTCTAGTCTATAGTCTAGTCTATAGTCTAGTCTATAGTCTAGTCTAGTCTAGTCTATAGTCTATAGTATAGTCTAGTCTATAGTATAGTCTAGTCTATAGTCTAGTCTACTAGTCTAGTCTATAGTCTATTCTATAGTCTAGGTCTATAGTCTAGTCTATAGCCTAGTCTATAGTCTAGTCTATAGTCTAGTCTATAGTATAGTCTATAGTCTATTCTATAGTCTAGTCTATAGTCTATTCTATAGTCTAGTCTATAGTCCAGTCTATAGTCTAGTCGATAGTCTAGTCTATAGTCTAATCTACAGTCTAGTCTGTAGTCTAGTCTATAGTCTAGTCTAGTCTGTAGTCTAGTCTATAGTCTATAGTCTAGTCTATAGTCTAGTCCATAGTCTAGTCTATAGTCTAGTCTATAGTCTATTCTATAGTCTAGTCTATAGTCTAGTCTATAGCCTAGTCTATAGTCTAGTCTATAGTCTAGTCTATAGTATAGTCTATAGTCTATTCTATAGTCTAGTCTATAGTCTATTCTATAGTCTAGTCTATAGTCTAGTCTATAGTCTAGTCGATAGTCTAGTCTATAGTCTAATCTATAGTCTATTCTATAGTCTAGTCTATAGTCTAGTCTATAGTCTAGTCTATAGTCTAGTCTAGTCTATAGTCTAGTCTATAGACTAGTCTATAGTCTATAGCCTACAGTCTAGTCTATAGTCTAGTCTACAGTCTAGTTTATAGTTTTGGCTTGTCTGTGCGTTGTTTTTTGGAGAAGTGTTTATTTATTTATATTTATACAATGTACACATCTTCGAAAATACTTAAGTCAAACGCCCTAATAAACATAGACATCTATATATGAAAGGACAAACAATCACAATTTTGCAATTCCATACAATTTAAAGTGCATTCCATACAGTATGAATTAGCATGGTGCCATATTTCATAACAAAAAATATATCTTGTTTGATCAAGATTTTTCTCTAAAGATAATAATTTCTTGTTCTCGCCCAAACAACAATGTGGCCTATGGGAGAAGGCAGTACTACTGTCTGCTTATGTAAATAGAACCCATCTAATTTTCCTACATATGTAGGTCTATCAAAAAAAGTAACAGTTATTTACTAGCTACTAGCACCGTTTCATCTTTTTTTCACATTATACGTTTTCCCGTTTAGTTTTTTTTAGTTATTTTTACTAGCGCTTAAAACTATGCTACAAATATATGTGTAGTAGTAACAGATCCGTTATGCTTTGTTTAATTTCTCTTGTGTTTTACATGTTGTTTTGTTATTTATGTACTTGTGTATGAAGTTGTTGCAGTTGCTGCTTTTAGCTGTTTGTATTGTTGGTGCCTTATACAGGAGCTCTCACACAGTCATATATATGAACAGCAAACATGCAGCTTTAACAAATATACATACATACGTACGTACATACATAAGTACGTTCGTACATACAACAACTTTTTTACTTTACTGTTGATTGTGAATATTTTCCTGTCTGTACGTATGTTTGTTGAGTTGAAAGAGTATTTGAAAGTGTTTTAATTCCTTCTTTTATCTCTTTTGCTTTTGAGTTTATGTATGTTTGTATATGGATAGATGGATGTATGTTGTCTCTATGAGCACAACCCAGTCAATTTATTTATACGTTTCGTTTGTTTATACATATGTACATATGTGTATGTTTAATTTCAGCATATCGGTGGCCATTGTTATTGCAGCTTTAGCTGGACCTCAATGGTTGTTTACGGAAGAGAAATTGCCAAATACTTTGTATAATGGTACTGCTAACTTTAATGTCCTGGATGATGGTGCCTTCATTACGCGATACACTAAATCAAGTTTATGGATCATATGTACAACATTACAGGGTGAGTTATCTCTCTATAATTTGTATCCTTTTTTCCCCACTTTTTGGTTTATTTACTTAGCAAATAACTATAAATAAAAACATACACATGTGTTACGTCCGTCCGTCCGTCCATCTGTCTGTCTGTGGGTGACACTCATTGACATACTTTTGTTTTTAAATAGAGGAAGTGTGCGTGTTTAAGTGTATGAGTTTATGTCTGCTATAGAGTGATGTGTGCGTATGATTGCTGCAGTTTATACAAATATCAATCATACGTTGCTGTGGGCGTTTTTAGTCGTCTGTAAATTGAATATTCGTTTTCATTACACAGAATTTCGCTGAGCTAATACTACATATGTGTGTGTCAATAAAATATTTATAAAGGAGACTGATTTGTGGAAAAAGCGAAATAATTGAGTATTTGTTTGATTTTGCATTTCTGTTAACATTTAGAACATAGATTGATATATAATTAGTTGAAAGACTAAAGTTTTTTTTATTATACAATTTAAATCATGAGTAATAATTCAATTTTAATTATTGGAAATGAAGTTGTGCTTGTTTAAGCATTTGTAACACTTTTACTATCCTTGGAAAGCTACTTAAGATCGGAATTGTATGTCATGAACTTCTGCAGTTTGTTAAATGGGGTCCAATTGAAAATATAACCTAAATTTGTGAAGTTATAAATTTCACCCAAAAATCCATATTAAACTATTAATTTGATGAAAAATTTCTCCAGCTGTTTGAAAAATTTAATTTTAGTTTTAGTCTCAATTATAATAATTTGTCTGATACTTCCTTAGTTTCCTGTACCAGGTGCTATTATTACAAATACATATTTGCTTTGCCCTTAGAACACAACGTCATCAAGCTCTTAGCCTGGTTTTAACTTTAATACCAACATGTAGACATGTACAACTTATGTACACTCTATGTATGCTTCCTCATAAGTTTTGCAACTAACAAATACATTTGTAAAATATTTCAATCTGTTTTTTACTCCATGTTTTGCTTATATACTTTGCTGCATGTCCTGTCTTTTATAGCAAACAAACAAGAAGTTTAAACTTTTCCTGTTCTCTATTTTTTAAATAATGTTTGCAAAATATCTACATAAAAGTAATCAAAGACAGAGAGAAAAAATAAACACAATGACAACAACTACAAATGAAAAACTAAATTTGTATATAAATGCTGAAAGTTTTTTTTTATACAAAAGCACAACTTTGTACAAATTTTGGAACTAAAGAAATTTGTTTTATATTTAGAAAAAAAAAACTACTCAGTTATAATAACGCTGAATTAACCTAATTCTGTCTGAGTTTTTGAAAAAATAATATATTAAAATCAACTGCTGGTAAATATCAGTGAACAAATAAAAATTATTTATTAAGTTTACAAATTGAAAGAAACTCTTTTTTATTTTTATTATTATTTCTTAAAGAAGAACAGGTCTTATGATTTAACTAGGTAAATTTTTATAACTTAACAAAACTATAAGAATTCAAGCAGAAAAGCAATGAAAAAAATTACCAGAAACGGATATGGAATTATATTTTTAACATTAAATATTTAAGATGATGATTAACAAAAACAGCGGAGAAAAACAAAAATACAAATAATAAAAAGAGCGCAAAGAAAAATAAACACCTACTTAAGTTTCCCGTTGTTGCCAGGGAGGAAGTAAAAGAAAAGTGCTAAAAATTTGAATAAAAGTCCAATGCACGTGCTGAATGACTATTGATACCCTATAGTTAGTTCAGATTTTACTTAAGTCTACAGACCATATTAAATGCTAGACCATAGACTAGACTAGATTATATACAGATTATAGAGTGCCTTATAAATTAGACTATAGAGAAGACTATAGACTAGAATAGGCCATAGACTAGGCTATAGACTAGGCTATAGACTAGGCTATAGACTACACTAAAGACTAGACTATAGACTAGACTATAGACTAGACTATAGAGTAGACTATAGACTAGACTATAGAGTAGACTATAGACTAGACTATAGACTAGACTATAGACTAGACTATAGACTAGACTATACTAGACTATAGACTAGACTATAGACTAGACTATAGACTAGACTATAGACTAGACTATAGACTAGACTATAGACTAGACTAGACTAGACTATAGACTAGACTATAGACTAGACTATAGACTAGACTATAGACTAGACTATAGACTAGACTATAGACTAGACTATAGACTAGACTATAGACTAGACTATAGACTAGACTATAGACTAGACTATAGACTAGACTATAGACTAGACTATAGACTAGACTATAGACTAGACTATAGACTAGACTATAGACTAGACTATAGACTAGACTATAGACTTGATTATAGACTAGATTATAGACTAGACTATAGACTAGACTATAGACTAGACTATAGACCAGACTATAGACTAGATTATAGACTAGACTATAGACTAGACTATAGACTAGACTATAGACTAGACTAGACTATAGACTAGACTAGACTATATACTAGACTATAGACTAGACTATAGACTAGACTATAGACTAGACTATAGACTAGACTATAGACTAGACCATAGACTAGACTATACACTTGACTATAGACTAGACTATAGACTAGACTATAGACTAGACTATAGACTAGACTATAGACTAGCCTATAGACTAGCCTATAGACTAGACTATAGACTAGACTATAGACTAGACTATAGACTAGACTATAGACTAGACTATAGACTAGACTATAGACTAGACTATAGACTAGACTATAGACTAGACAATAGACTAGACTATAGACTAGAATATATATAGACTATAGACTAGACTATAGACTAGACTATAGACTAGACTATAGACTAGACTATAGACTAGACTATAGACTAGACTATAGACTAGACCATAGACTAGACTATAGACTAGACTATAGACTAGACTATAGACTAGACTATAGACTAGACTATAGACTAGACTATAGACTAGACTATAGACTAGACTATAGACTAGACTATAGACTAGACTATAGACTAGACTAGACTAGACTATAGACTAGACTATAGACTAGACTATAGACTAGACTATAGACTAGACTATAGACTAGACTATAGACTAGACTATAGACTAGACTATAGACTAGACTATAGACTAGACTATAGACTAGACTATAGACTAGACTATAGACTAGACTATAGACTAGACTATAGACTAGACTATAGACTAGACTAGATATAAGACTAGACTATAGACTAGACTATAGACTAGACTATAGACTAGACTATAGACTAGACTAGACTAGACTATAGACTAGACTATAGACTAGACTATAGACTAGACTATAGACTAGACTATAGACTAGACTATAGACTAGACTATAGACTAGACTATAGACTAGACTATAGACTAGACTATAGACTAGACTATAGACTAGACTATAGACTAGACTATAGACTAGACTATAGACTAGACTATAGACTAGACTATAGACTAGACTATAGACTAGACTATAGACTAGACTAGACTAGACTATAGACTAGACTATAGACTAGACTATAGACTAGACTATAGACTAGACTATAGACTAGACTATAGACTAGACTATAGACTAGACTATAGACTAGACTATAGACTAGACTATAGACTAGACTATAGACTAGACTATAGACTAGACTATAGACTAGACTATAGACTAGACTATAGACTAGACTATAGACTAGACTATAGACTAGACTATAGACTAGACTATAGACTAGACTATAGACTAGACTATAGACTAGACTATAGACTAGACTATAGACTAGACTATAGACTAGACTATAGACTAGACTATAGACTAGACTATAGACTAGACTATAGACTAGACTATAGACTACTGTAGAATATAGTAATAGAATAGTAACTTCCTTTTGACTTTTAATATTTTTTCACCAATTTAAATGCATTTCATTCAAAATTGTTTGTTGTTTTTGCTACGCAAGCCCACACTACTTATGTCTTTAAACCAACGTGAAATTTTGCGTTTGCAATTGTATGCAGATGATTATTATGATGATGAAGAAATTTTCCTTGTGAACTCAAAATTATCTGAAGGTGTTAAATTACAGAAGCAAATAATAAAAACCAACGTATTCTTGACAGTCATCATGTTAAATTGTGTTCATCATCAACATAATGATTTCTTTTAACATCGTCATCAGCAACTGCTCTAACTTTAACAGCAACAACATTATTACTGACAGATAGACAGACAACTTGATCGCCAACAACAAATTTTAAATGAGTTTTTAAGGTATGTTGTAGGTGTGTGGGCTAAACGAAAGCAGATGTGTACAAATACATAAATGTGTGTTTGCGTGAAAAAATACAGGTGTTTATGTACATATATTGAGCAAACTATATTCCACAATAAAAAGGAAACGGAAACTGTTAACGGAACTAAGTAGTTTCCATGCTGACTGCCTGCCTATTAGCATAACTTTATATAAAATATTTTCTGCTTTACATTTTTTATTTTCTTTTATTTCGTTTTTTTTATATGGATTTTATTTATTTATTTTTTTCTTTTTATAACTGCACTTTACGAACTATAGCGAAAAAATAAAGACAGACTAATATTTGTAGTTGTTTTGTAGGGTTATTTGTTAGTATGAGTCAGTGAGAGTAGTGGTTGGGTAGGTGTTTCTTAGTAACTGTTTGGCAGACATCTAAAGAGGTCTCGACATTCAAATTCCCATTAACAATGGGAATTGCAGTGTTGGCGTAATAAATGTATTGGTATGTAAATAGGTATTTAATAAGTTTGCATTTACCTTGTACCGGATGCCATATCTTGTAGAGTAGTAAAAGGTGTGAATATTTGTACAGAAATTTTATAAATGCATTTAATTTACAATGATTTATTAAATTATGCAAATTGTTATAAATTTCTACTAGATTTATCGGTTAGCAATAAATATTTACAGTTGTGGTGAAATAATTAGAAAAATAGGTTTCATGTGTGTAAAACATGGAATTGAAATATTTGG